AGAGAGAGAGAGAATTTTTAATATTTATTTTTAAATTCTCGGCGGACACAACATCTTTGTTGGTATGTGGTGCTGAGGATCGAACCCGGGCCGCACGCATGCCAGGCGAGCGCGCTACTGCTTGAGCCACATCCCCAGCCCCCCAGGGGTTTTTAAAAGAACTGGAAGCTGGTTCTGCAGAGTCCAGAATGTGGCAGGAGTCCCTTCCCCCCCAGAATCTCCACCAAACTCAGGTCCCATGGGAGGCTTGTTAAAGGCAGTGATACCTGCCAGTGGTCACCTACCCACCTTGGTGGACTCTACCCAGAGGCCCAGAAACTCCTCTGGATGAGGGGTGACTGTTAGGCAATTGTACCCAGGGGAGACACCCCAGGACAGTGGTGAGGCAGAAGGCCATGCCGCTGGCACTGCCCGGAAGGAGGATCTTACAGGCATGCGGAACCCCTCTGGCTCGGCCAGGCTCAGAGGAGGGCCACAGAGCGGGTGGAAAGGTTCTCCTGCTCGGTGGGCGGCAGTGCAGCTCTCACGGCAATTACCACGAGCCCTTTCACTGCACCCAAAGTATAAAACACCAAAGCATGCATCTAAGCTTCAGCTTGGGGGAACAGTTCTGTGCAAGGCTTTTTGGCTGGAAAAAGAACTTCTAATTAACATGAAATAACAGCTTTCAAACACTTGACTCAGGATATGGAGTTGAAAAGGTGTGGGCTGGATTTAAGGGAACCAGACAGGAAGAACAATAGTAGAACTGCTGAGCTCCAAGGATGGAAAGGACACCTGGGAGTGAGGCAAGAGGGACAGCATGAGAGATGTCTGCAGAGGAGAGAAGCAGGAAAGCCCAGAGCACAGGCAGGGATTCCAACCCTCCAGCCACCAGCAGGTCTGTGCGCTGCGATACACCTGCCAAACTTCTCCGGCACACGGGGGTGGGGGGGAGGGATGCTCAACACATAGCTTGGGGAGAGGGCCTGGCAAGGCGGTGCTGCCTTCTCACCCTTTCCCCAAACCTCAGCTGGCTCAGAGGTGGGAAGCAGTGCCGGAAACAGCCCCGGGACGAGCGTCCCTATGCTGCCGAACGCTGCCTGCGCATCTCCAGGCTGCTCCAGCACAGAGCTGAGTTCACGAACACGCTTCACTCACGAGTTGCCACAGTCCATGGCCAGAGTTATTACAGACTCACTGGACAGGAGACATCCAGAGGCAAAAACAGTGATGAAAAAGCGTGGACAAACCAGCATTGGCTACATTTCAATCCGTCTAATCGTTGACCTGATGCGGAGGGCAGAGGGGTTGGCCAGGTGAGACCTCCTGCTGGCCAAGATACCAAATGCTACCATGACTTGGGTCAGCAGTCTCGTGCCAGCAGGTGTTCTCCTCATACCCTACAGCTGGCTCCAGGAGCAATAACCTAATTTTTAAAAGGGAACTATTTTGTTCAAAGACTCATTGAAAACTTACATAAAATTAATGAAGAAAAGAAGAACTGCGCTAAAATATCAACTGGACTCCATTACTGATAACCCAAGTTTAGCCTCATCTGCAACGTCTTCTGTGCTCTGGCTCCTGCCCACATGCTGGCCTCCCACAGGTCTGTTCATAGCCATCACGTATACCCCCAACTTGGGCCATGCCCAACTTTCTTCCCATGCCCTCTGCCCTCACGCTCGAGTCTTCGCCTACTCTGTTCCCTGTGCTTGGAAGGACTTTTCCATCCAGCCTCTCTGCCTTGAAGCACCTATTCCACCCTCGTGATCCAGCTCAAACAGCACCTCCTCACCGGAGGCCACTCACAGAATAGGAGCCACGCCTCTAACAGAGATGCAATTACAACTCGCAGGAGAGCTCACGACCAAGGAAAGTTGACCGGCCAGCCAGGAAACTTCTACTTTCAAGACCAGAAAATAACAACAGTAACAGCAGCTGCCAGACCCTAAATATTTAATTGCTGATTCTTACAACCCACAAATTAAGTGGAGGGTTGAGCCATTTGCCCTAGTTGATACCACTGGTGATTGTTAGAACAAGTTTTTAAACCCAATTCTGTGTGACTCCAAAGCACTCAACAAGGAACAGGAGGATGATTTCAAACCTAACCACACCACCAACACCAGCAGACACATCCAGCATCTAACCCATTGCCAAATAGCCAACACCCTAAAATGCATAAGGCTCTGGGTCAGAACCAGAAGGGAATGCAGAGTGGTACAAAGTACAGTCCCCAGAGAATGTATGGCTTAGTCAGGGCCCACTGTGGCCTTGAGGGGAAGTTGGGCAGCCGATTATTGCTCCTTGGCTATCTTGAGTTCTTTAAAAAAAATGATAGTCTGCATGTGTGTGTGTATGTGTGTGTGTGTGTGTGTGTGTGTTTCTGACTTGCCTTCCACAACAAAGTCTGCTGCATATAAAATTCTACTTATTTGAAGGACCCAGTTAATCAAAGTTTTACTTTATTACTTAAAACAAACAAAAATAATAGTATAATATCTAACCTGATTTGGGGAATTTTAAAAACAATCCTGAGGTAATTCTTGAAATACCAACTATGTTTGACTTAGTGCTGAGCTCAGAAGGACTCACACCCCACCCTCATCCCACCCCTAGTAAGGGTCTGGAGCTGCAGCACTGTGACTTTATACTGTTTACTATAGGACATGAATCAAACTTTCATTTATCAGGGCCAAGCTGACCATCTAGTGCCCTGCCCAAGAAGACTTTCTGAACCCCTGAAAAGTGCCCCTTCACAGATCTATATTGGTCCCTGACTGTTCTATGGCTTTATCCTGGACCCATCCCCCTGAGTCCTAGACTCCAGACCTGGGTAGGGAACCAGGTACCTGTTAAACTAAAGTTGAAAGATAGATATGTCTAAATGTGGAAATGCAATATGCCTTACAAAACCTTCTGATGAAGAACTCTCAATGAAAATAAATCAGAACAGTCTAGAGTAAAACTAAAGTAGTAACTCCCTCCATCTTAT